CAATGGTGGATATGACACTAAATAGAAAAATTTGGAAAATTTCTATTCAGATAGACCTGAAATACTTTTTGAGCCACACATTAAATGTTTTATGTCAAATGAGGGCTATTTAATGATTTTATTTTGAAATTAAATTAATTTTGAAATTCAAATTTTGAAGTCATTCATTATAAAAGGATTGAAATGAGCTTTTTCAACTCTTCTGATATTCCCCCCATATTTTTGTATGAAATAATTTGCCAGATTGAACTTGGATATATGAATAATTGTGGTTCTCTCAAAAGTACATTTTTTAAAAACAAATGTATTCCAGGCAGAAAAATCATGCCCAGCTCTACCTGGAATTTCCTCACGCACAACGCACACTATCCCTCCGGCACTGACAAGCTTAATTAATATTCCTTTCTACCCCCATCCACTCCTCACCACCCGAATGACCCCTGTCAAAACACATGCTGTAGGTGCAAAGAACATGCTACAGTCCTGTAACACTGCCCGGTGCGGGAGAGTCTTCCTTTGGGGCAGAATTTACTAAACTACTTTTAAAGAAAGCTGAGAAATAACGATTTCAAAGTTATTTAGAGCAACATTTGCTTCAAAAGAACACACTTAATGGTGGCTTTCCTAGCTCAAGAACTGGCCTAAGGTACGTTTACGGAGATGCTGTAAACTCAGTCCAAAGACATGTTTATGGGAGCAAGGTTTGGAGGCAGACTGGGACCCACCTCATGTTTCTTAAAAGGTATTGCCTTTTCCAAGCTACAGGGGAGGCTCTGTGATGGTAACACAAGCTCTCCTCCTCAGTGGTATGACTTGGATGCACCCCCCTTTTCGTGACCATTTCTCCACGCCCCTGGTCTCTGAGGCCACCGCTGCAGCAGCTCCCCTCCCCAGCCAGTCTTCCCACCATGGGGCAGAGAACCGGGCAACACAGCACACAAATGAGACAGAGAGAACTCAGACCCAAGCCATGGCTTCATGCAATATAGTCTGAATTGTTCAATCTCTGGAGCAGCCTGAGGTAGCTAACACCAACGTAGCTGCCATCATGGGCATGAAGGAGGTAATGCGCAATCTACTGCGTCAGTAAAGGCGATTTTCTATAAGTGGCCTTTCTTAGGTTATCCAAAACAGGTTACAAATGAGAAGGATCACATGAATATGTTTAACTACCATATTTTAAGGCCATTATGCAGACACAGCTTGTATTTAAATACATCCTCTCCCACAGTAAACATCTGTTTTTATAATAAGGACAGGAAGAACAATTACATCATCCAGCCTGACTTCCTCTATAACACAAGCCTTTTTCAGTCAGACATTCATTCCTGTGATTAACTAAGATTGCATTTAATTAAAATACATCTTCTGGAAAGCTGCCCTTTCTTGATTTGAAGACTTCAAGGGATGCAGGATCTACCATTGCCCATGGTAGTTTGCCCTGATTTGTGCTAAAATATTGCTTGCTTTGCCTATACAGAGGAGTTTTGAAATACGCCAGAGTCTGATCACCTCAAGGGCTGCCAAAAAACTTGCATGTCCTGCCACAGACAGAGAGAGAAGCATGCAGAGTCAGAGCCCTCACGTTGTTTGCTGCCCAGACCAGATTTCAAGATTTGTCTGACAGCGGATGGAGTCGCCCAAGTAGCTCACACTGACAGTCATGCAGGAAGGCTGTCCCCAAGGGGGTAGCAGGTGACAGGGAATCAGTTCTCAGAGTTTCTAAACTCTTCCTCACCCTGATGGCTGTGCCACAACCTCCCCGCATCTCGGTAGAGCGGGTACAGCATTGTTCGCTTGGTGGATCAACTAATACTTCTAAAGTGTGCCATGATGTATGGCTCTAAATGCATGCTAAAAATGTCACTGAGAGGTCCATCCCAGCACCTTAAACCAGGCTAGTGAAGAAGGGAGACTGTACCTGGAGGAAGTTCTCCGTATGGGAGGGCTGGCATCTCGTCTGCTGCCAAAGTTACCTGGAGCTGCCTGGCTACACAGCGACACAGCACAAAACTGAGAAGGTGAAACACAGACGGACCACTGTGGTAAGTCCCCTATTACACCAATCTCAAGTGGCAAAAAATATTTTGCTATTGAAATCTAGCAATCTCTCCTTCTGCCATAGCTCATTAGTGATAAATTTCAGCAAGGCAACTGAGGAATATTTCCAAATATGAACGACACCGTTCACTGCAGAATGGTTGTGGGGGGAGAAAACAGTCAGCACTATGGAGCAAAACCACAAAATAGGAAAGCAAGAGTGCGTGCAGAGCACAGCGCATTTAGCCCTGTCTCCGTCACAGGGATGGAGAGCACTGACCTTCTGTACCAGTCAGTCCCACCAACAGGGCTACCTGAGACTTACATGATGAGCCACCACTGTCTCCCTAACACACTGGCTAAAACAATATGCATTTTCCTCTCCATTTGATAATGCAGACATTGTCCTACTCCTCTCCCAGGGCCAATGCAAACACTGGGATACTGGGAGGCGACGGCCCTTTTTATGACGGAGCTCCCTAAGCCCAGCAGGCCTGGCAGCTGAGCACCAGCCCAAACACTAATCCACCTCTGCTTCTCCCACCACGAGCACCACCACCAAACTTTTCTCCAGCATGCACACTTCTCAGCTCCTGTCCCTCTGGCCAAACCACTCATTTTCCATAAGAGAGCCCAGCAGTGACCTGGTGAATACATACCTGCACCCCTGGCCAGAGCAGCAACAGGAATTTGTATCAGCCTAAACTGTCTGATGGTCCCAAAGTGCCAGGTCAGCAGGGTTCCACCACACCAACAGGTGCTTTTGCAGGGTGAGCTGTGGCCCCCAAATGCTCCCTAGGGCTTGGGCAGTTCCAGACTGGGAGGAAGACGCTTCATTTTACATTTTTTCTAGAGTTTTGTCCCAAGAGCTACCGGACACCTAACACGGGTCCACGGGCTCCCGCTTTATCCTCCCCGCACCTGACGCTCAAATTTCTTTGTACTCTCGGCTCGTCTGAGGGGCCGTCACACGGAAAGCCTAAGGTATTGAATGAATTTCACAGGCAGCCAGTGCAGCTGCTCTGGGAGAGATTTGGTCCAATACAACTAGGATAAACACTTTCTAAACCTTAGTAAAGCCTTTTTCTAACAGGTTAAAATACTCCTGCTGCAGCCTGAGAGGAGGCTGAAACAGAGCGTGGGTGAATCCAGCAGCTGACATGGCTACTTGCAGCATGCAAGCTGAACCAAACGCAAAAGGTGAAGAAACTATCTAAATAATGAGGGGAAGTGCATTAGGGCAGTATAGCTCATTCTAACTAAGTGTAATCAGCAGGAGAAGGAAGAAAAATTAGCTCACTGGTATGTCCTTTCAAGTGTTCAGGGACACTTAATTTTGCAGAAAAGTTTCAACCAATATAAATATGCCAAATATAATCTTCAGTGTCCTTACTTACTTGTACAAGCAACCTGAGTCACATGCTGCTTGGGACTCTCCTAAATTTAAATTTTAAACCCACTTAAATCTATGTATAGAAAGTAATATACATCATACCCAAGAAAATGGTCATTCTGGGCTACTTGGCAGTTCAGGGAGCTGCAGGTTTTTAACCTTAAAGATGTATCTGGTAAAAATTCTTTAATGTACTCTCTTGTCCTCCTAATGATGTCCTAAATTATTCAAAGAGACTCAACTCTAATGATATTTTTTTTCAGTTGATGCTCTTGCTTAATATTTCTCCACGTCACATGTAGAAGTTTGTTTAAATAAGGTATGACTACTTCCATTTAAATTTTAAAATCATTGTGAAAATCTTTCTTTTCATATTAGGTTCAGTAAATTATTCCCTTCTTTAGAGCCTGGGAAGGTTTTTTGCCAAATTATCACATTTGCCAAAAACGCAGTTGTAGAGAATCTGAGGGCCAAATTATTTGAAAATTCACCTAGATCTTGATAATTACTTTGATGAAAAACAGTAACGCTTTGGAAATGCTGGAAGTCCTGATTAGGCAATTCCCCAAACAAAATGCAACTTTCAATTGCAGAACATCATAGTTTAGAAATGTCAAAAAATTAATCAAAAGTGCTTCATTTGACCCTAAGCAAAAGTCGTTCCTTTTTGCAGCTTACTTTAGATTGCTCAGAAAACTGACAGTTTGATTTTTCTACACTCAACTTAAGACGATGCTTTTCTTTCGTTCAGTCTTCTGAGCTAAACAGCAAGTCAGTTACATGTATAACCATTCACCATTTTCTGAACAAAAATAAAGTGGTGAGTCTGGGCTGTATGCTGGCACTGCAGTGGGACAGGGTGCCTGAATATCCTGAAATCCCAAAGATGGTAGGCTTTTCTAGGCATCTCTGTGTGTACATACTGGTACCATTCTTCCTTCAGAGATAGTAAAACCAGATTTCTAAAGATTTGCCAAATCAAAGCATTTGATTCAGGGGATAAAGTGTCAGCCCAAAAATTTTTGATCAGTGCTTCTCTCAGCGACAACACATTGTTCATGACCCAGGAAGTCCTGAACTAATGCAAGTCTCAAAGCCCCCTATGAATATCAAGTGGTTGCAGGAAAGAGATTGCCAGTCAAGCCTGTGAAGAGAATCAGCCGGTGCTGCTCCCAGCCAAAGTACTTACCAATAATTCCTTGGGAGATATCTTATTACTTTTTCTTTAAAAAGAAGACTAAACAGAAAGCACAAGGCCACACAAAATTGACTTCTCCATGTTGATGTAACAACCCTCCCCCTTCTATAACGCATGTGAGCCTGTAACGGTAAGCAGCAACCATGCATAGCAGTGAAGAGATTTCATCCGGAGCATCGGGAAAGTACTTGATCCTTCTAGTAGAGTCCAGGAGGTACGGCATTAGTGACAGTGAATACCACAGATACCTCTTCCTGTATTTGAGTTTCCGTTGGGTTTAACGTGGATTGTGTCTTTGTGTTCTGGATGGGAACTGTGTGCTGGTATGGCAACAGCGTGAACAAAGTGTTTCTTGACTGCTGGAGCTCCTCAGGCCTGGAAGCCAAAAGCTGATGCTCTCTCTCTGAGCAGCTCCCGGCACAAATGACAACTCCAGCTCCCTGCAAATGAAGAAATCCTTCTTATAGGAATGACATCAAATCCAGGCACTCAGAGTTTATGTCAAGATCGGCTTGAACATGATTTCAGATATTCCTAACATTGGAATTGCCTGTATTTTTCTGAAGGAAGCTCTGCTGCCCTTGCTACCGTGTACATAGGCTCTCTACCCAAGTTACAACACAGCTGGGGTGTGCATTGCCACTAGGTGTTTTATGTTTTCATACATTCAATACACCACTTCCCAGTCAAACAGAAACCTTTAGCTAATTATTAGCTTCATTTCAAAATTTTCTCCTCCTGATTTAGTTTCCTCTTTATCAAAGTTACAAACATTTAGCTCCTGAATGCATGATTGATTTGCAATTATTCTTGTCTCACCCCTTATGTAAACCACAGTCATTTGCACTCGCACGTCTCCTCCAATTCTACTGCTCTCCGTAGAGTTTAGTCAGAGAAGCAATAATGGTGAGGGACCAGTTCCTTGGCTCCCCACCCAAATGACAAACTACAACCAGTTGTAGAATATTCAGACTGAATCCCTTGCAGAGGACAGAACTACATACCAAATGTAATACAGACCATAAAGCTCTCACCCTTCTGAGGCACAGAAAGACTGGAGAATAAGGAAGGCCATTCCTCTTAATCCAGTCTCCTGACAACGGACTCTCAGCTATTCCAGAGAGGACCTGCCTGTCTGGGGCTTTCTCTCTGGCACTTTGACTTCTTAGGAAGTCCAAAGTCGCAGTTCACAAGAGCTCAATTCAGCCGACTAAACTGAGGTGTCCACTGCCATCTGGGACAGCCAAAGGTACCCAGGACGTCCAAAAGACCCATGTCCTGGAAGAGAAGGTAGACACCAGGCCAGATTGCATAGGGCATCTCAGATCACACTAGATGTCCACATCTATTAATTTTCTTTCTTTCCAGTGCTACCTGCCTCTGCTTTGCTACTGCTTCATTAACTCTGTGTGGCCCACGCCACCTTTCTGAAATTCTTCCCTTCTCCACAAGGACTTTCAAAGCAGACTTCTAACACGTGTTACCTTCTGGGGGCTCAAAGACTGGTGGATTCAAGCAATACATGTGATAGCCACGGTCACAGTCATCACAGAAGAGCAGCTGGTCCTGAGGCAGGGTTGTTGCAGAGACAGTAGGGAAACAGGGAAAGAAGGAGAGGAGAAGAGAGAGAGAAAATGATGTAAATTAGTCTCTTGCCAAGATGAAAACATAGGCATGGTAGCCAGCAGTGCTCAGCTAGGAATGCAGAGCTGCAACACAGAGACTAAGAGACTATTTGGAACGTAAAAGGCATCGTGTTTGTGCATCCAAGGTCAACCACCACCCTTCTCATCGCAAAGGCAGCTCAGTTTCTAACTGGAAAATCTCTCTGAGAGGTGGAGGACTTCCTCTCCAAGGTGGCCTCATGATGCAGCTGTTAGGCCAGGGATATGCTGTACTGAGAGAAGAGGACAGGCATCCGCACACATCTGCTGGGCTCCAATGTGACCACATGCTGAATCTCATCCCTTAAGAGGAAACCTTTCTTATCAAAAGCCTGGACTTAGCCAGTTCTCCAAAACTCTGCTGAGTAGCGAATGCTCTGTGAAACAGATAAAAATTATGTGATCCCACCATGTGGTCTGCAGCTCTTTCATACTTCTGGGGGGAAAAACCTGCTCTGAAGTATCCCGTGACCCCTAACACAGAACAGCTCCCTGTTTTCAAATTTCCTTATTTACTGCTAAAGCAAAACAAAATCTCAGCCTTCAAGTTTATTCTGATATAGGGAATGTAGGCTTAGCCAATTGCCTCCAACGTTCCCCAGCCACTGTAAACCCTCCAACTTTCTTACAGACTACCAAGGATCTTTAGCATCCGATTTGAACTGAAAACCCCACCGTTCAGCTGCAGGCTCTGGATCATGGTTTAGAAATCACTGGGATAGGTGATTACGTGACTAGAGAGAGGCCTAGCCATCCCGGTTCAAATGCTTTCATGTTTCACAGGTCTTATAATTAAGATTAAAAAATCATGCCAAGAAGGTAAGCAAAATCAGCGACAGAAGAGACATACCTGCCATCTCTTGGGTCATCACCCATTCACATCTACTCCTGATAACCGTATTGAAAATACTACTCTTTTGCAGCTCCCTGCAACATGAGTTTTTGGCCTCCAGCTAATTTCTATTGAATAAGCATAAACCACAAGTATCGCCATCTTATGTGGCCCTACATGACACCTGTGATTTCAGCAGAGACCGACGGCTGAACGGGGTCCTGGGGAGAAGCTCCTCTCTGCTCTCAGGGTGGCTCTTCCTCAGAGATGTATGGAAGCAGCAGCAAAGCCGTGACCCACACCATTGCCACGTGCTCCTCAAGGGTGCGCACAACCGTAGCTTGCAGTGACTCTTATTGGCATGAAAAGGTAAATGAACTCACATCGTTCTCAGAGGTCCCACAAAGGCTGCAGGATTTGCACTCAATGCACTGCCACTGATAGGTTTTAACCGCCTCAGTCATGTTTGTGGTGAACTGCAGGCAGGTCGGGTGTCCTGAGGAAGATCGAAAACAACTGTCATTGTTAAGGCTCACTTACTGCTTGTTAATTAACCGGTATTAAATTTGGGAACAAAACGCACATGGACATGGACTGATCACAACATGGGCTGCAGCTAACAGATATCAAAGAGGAAAGCAGGCATTAACCCTTTCGCTGCCGGGCACAAGAGAAAAATCAGAGTCATCCCCACCCATTCCCCCACTGGCAAAGCAGTTTTATTCAGAGCTCTTAAAAATGGTTTGGCTTTGGGTTTGGTTTTTGTGGGGCTTTTTTTGGAAAGAACACAAGAGAAAGGAGGAAATCAGAAGCAAACCCAATTTCAGAGAGAGCCCATCCATCTTAATAGAAATTGGACTACAGTTTCAATTAGCGTTGTTTCGACTGGACTGGAGGACCTGGTGGAAATGAGGTTTTTCTCCATTTCAGAGCTTCCCGTCCTGGTGTTCAAATGGGTGGAGCAATTCTGTAAACTTTGCTTAAATGGAAGCAGTAGTGTACAGAGAAGAAGCAAGACAGGGTGGAGGCATACAGCTTTTCATGTTTTTTAAGAGCTCTGCCACTAAAGTTGGTTGGCACAGAAGAAACCAAATTGCACAGCTAACCTTCCAGGATCAAAACAAGAAACCGAAAGGAAAAAACCCCAAGCCAACTCCCACAACGAACTAAATGAAAGGAATAAAGAAGGGAAAGCTAGCAGAACAGTCACATCTAATCGGGAAGGACAAATTGCCAGAGTTACAACCCCCGCCCCTACATGCGTGTCGACTCCAGCTTTGCAAAACAGCGGTATCACAGTAGCAGGGTCAGCAATGGGCTTTCTGGAGGGGAAAATACAAACAAACAAACAAACCAAAGGTAGGATCAGTGTTCCTTCTGCAAAACAAAACAAGAAAAAAAATACCGCTGAAATGAAGTACTGTACTCCCAAACCACCCCTGTCAGGCTGAGGCAGTCCCTATGGTCACCTGCAATAATCTGTTACTTGCCTTCTTGGAAAGCCCCATACTTAGCATCCCTCTCCGACACATCTAAGCATTAACACTGTGCATAGTCAGGGCCAGGGGGCATGGGATGGGGATAGCCAATTGCTCATCTATAGAAAGTCTACAGGTATGCACATCCAGCACTACCACGTGCTGCTCCTAGAACCTTACAGCATCAGGAGCACTGGGGTGTGTGTGTGTGTGTCACCTCTAGATGACCTGCTGTCCTTAAGACTACAGCCAAAGGGTAGGAAAAAATCTTTTCCACCTCCACCAGCCCAAAATTCTTTTTAAGAGCGGAGAAAGAAAGGCAGTTTCTCCAATAAGAAAAAAAAAAAGGCATAGCTACAGTCGATGTGGGCATAGATGCGCTATCTCCATCACCAGGCCTATCAGCAATATTTTGCTGTGTCATCGCATCACCCATCACCACCCCACAAGAAGCCTCTATATTTTCTAGCTAGCGAAGCAAACAGTTTCTGAGAATTGCTGGGTAAGGCAATAATGCTGTAGGGAATATATTTCCTTTATGTGCCCATGATACCAGCAAATGGTGTAATAAGGATTTGGGTTTTCCAGTTACATTTGCATGGTAGTGACACAAAAACTAAGCCTGTCCAGCAAAGAAATGTGTGTACATAAGTTATTAAGGAAATTGAATAGAAAATAAAGGAGATATTTAAGGAAGGAGGGATCAATGACATTGTTCATATCACTCTTAAGCCTTTGAATAAAGAAATGTTTTGGCAGTACTGATGAGCTCAGACTGGCCAAGAAGATCACTGGGTTTTGGAGCCCTTGAAATGTCAGCACAAAACAAGAGTCAGGTTTTACTGAGATTTACAGCAGACCAAGTCCAAACTAAAGTTCTGGGGACCTTGAAACTGCAACAGTGCAGAAGGAGATTTTGTGACATGATACCTTTTCTTGCTGAGAGGACCTCATATAATTTCTGATACTACCAGACTAGCAGAACCTGACATGACACTGAAATGTTCTTCCTGATGTGATTTACAGCAAATGCAGAACCTTATTCCAATACCAGTAAATAGAACAAATGTGCCACACTACACATCGGGGAGGAATTCATCCCAACAGCAGTGAGTTGGTTTCCAGAAAGGTTGTACAGTGCTGGAATACATCACTGAAAACAACTCATACAGGGAGGTGAGTTAATCAGAGTGTTAAATAGCTTCAGTCACATTTGAAAAGAAACAGAAAGAATGGAATCAAACTTACAGACATAAATCACAGCTAAATGCATACACACACTCACGTGCTTGCTTGCCCGCGTACACACATTGCTCACTGCAGAGATTCCAGCTAGAGACTCTCCCTTTCTCAAATGACATGAAGGTCAGGTTCTGTTCATTACTTTATCTCTGTCCCTTCACATCCGTTCCTGCTCTCTTCCAGCTATCAGTCTTGACTGCCTCGTTCCTCATTTGCCTCAAAAACACCTCTGTAGGTTTTCCGTGCTGCATCTCGTATCGATGGTGCCTCATCCTTGAAGTGATCCATCCTATTTTGCAGAGCCCTTCTGAAGAACCACACCCGCCACAAGCCTAAAAGAAATGGGCTCTTGTGGGCTGAGGATTGCTTAGAAAATATTAATGGTGGAGTGAGGGCCACAGTGGCTTCTTTTTAGTAGCAATGCAAGACTCTTGCAAAAAATACCGATTTATTCACTCCATTGGTCTCTCTCTCCAAATGCTGTGACTACGAAAGAGTCCAACAAATGCCCACAGCCATGCCTGCATAGCCGCAGATTGCTCTCCGTTAGCCCAGGGCTTATGACATGTCTAAGCGAAAAAGAATTCCTTGTGGACACGTCTGTCTTCAGCCTTCAAGTCAGATCCTCTTTCACATTAAACAATGTGCCTTGTGGTACCATGACCCCAACCTAATGTCGTTGGAAAGGCTATTTTCACTTATGCCAGCAGCATGATGAGGCACTGTAGTGTATGGCAACATTAAAATTCTTTTTCCTGCCCTCCCTGCTCTCCTTCTTCACAGTCTCTCTGTTTTTCTGCTACTTTGGTTCAAAACCCAGTGTTTTTCATGACCTATGAGAAAATTCACACGTCCGAGACTTCCTGGAGCAGTGTTAGTGAACACCATCCCTGCTCCATATCTCAGCACTTCTTTGGCATTCCCTCTGTGGCAGAATACCTGAAGACAAAGCCCTGTAGCTGCATACAGCAGGGTACTATAGCTAGACTCAAATTCCCTTTGAAAAAAAAAAAAAAAAAAAAAGGTGGCTAGTTCAGCTCTCAAACAATTTTGCTTACCACAAAGAGCAGTCCAAAATATGGCTCGAGTTACCAATGCTGGTAGCACACGAGCCAGGGAGCTGGAAATGTCTTCCTTGCTTAATTTCATCACTTATGTGGTCAAAATGAAGAATCAGTCTTATTTTACTAATCTTGAGATAAACGGCATTTGCTACAGCGAAGGTGTGTAGCAAAGAGCCTGCAGCTGGAAGCCAATTAATAATTCAGGTGGTGGCTCAGCCCTGGCGAACCCTGGATCACTCTCACATGTCTGTATCAGCTCCGCAGATCTAACAGGGGGAAGAAGTAACACATATTTACGGTGTCACCAAAGTCAATAGACAGACCTCTAAAATACACCCCGGGAGCAGTTCTGTTGAAGGAGAAGGTGATACGTTAACATCAACAGTTTCTAGTCTACCATAACTATTCTCTACCTAAACTTTTGCTATGCCGCAATAGCTATAAACAACATAGACAATAAAACACGCAGTGAGAAGGTTTCCAACAGCTCATCCCTTTGTCATAAAGCAATATTTTAAAGTATAGATCAGGCCTGAAAGCTCCCTCATCTTTGTCAAAACTCTCCTCTGGATCTGAACCCTGCGACTGAGACCATATTTTATGGCGACACATGTGTTTCACATGCCACTGGCTTTAATTGTACACTATGTCCACCAGACATCTGGTCAGAGGAGTTGGGGGCGAAAGCATTCAGAGACCATTTCTTGACTCCCGTATCCAGTGCAATTGCAGACTGTTGGTAAGGAGAATTTTAACATAAATACCCTAAAAAAAACCAACCAAAAACCAAACCAAAACACCAAACCTCTAAAAATCCCTTCTGCTTACACTGGCTGTATAACACTAAAGACCAAACCTGACATTAAAGGGCAGGAGCAATCTGCTGCTCCCAGGCGCTCTGTGACCAGTGAAGGCCTTAGAACGGCTCATTAGTGCTTCTTCAATAATGGATTCTGCATTGCAAGATTAATTGCAGCCATGTGCTCTGTCACACCGGCCACAGACTATTTAAGTTAACAATCCAATCAATAACCTTTTTCAAACAAAGGCAGAGATTATCTTGAGGGAAAAAAATAAGCAAAGGCTCCTTTCTCAAAACAAATGTGAAATTATTCATATAGAGCAAAAAGAATTTTCACCCAGTTTCCGATTCCTTCCCTTATCTTCACCATGTACTGGTGGGCTTTTTAATCAATAGCATAATGAAAACCCACAGGGCTCCTGGCTATGTCACATCAGAATTTATTCCATAAACTATTCAGGTCTTTAAACAGCTATAAATACATATTACAGATATAATGATATATGTCACAGGAACTACATCCAAAGAACAGAAGTTTTACATGCAAAGAAACTGCAAAATTTCCTCCTGCTAAGACTGAATAAGCATTGCTACGATTGCTGCCATCATTAGACAGAATTATTACTGCTATTCGTACAAAAGAAAAGTAACTTGTAATTCTAATAAGGGATAAGATTTTGTGGTTAAGATATAAAAATGTAACCCTTATTTGTCTAAGAATGCATGCTTATAGATATGTAGTGCCAACAACAGATGGATTAGCAAGAGCCCTTAAAAACCCAGACCATCCAGCCACACCGAAAGGCTTGGCTCTGTCAGAATCTCAGGGCTCAAGGAGCTGCACCTCTTAGAAAAAGACCAAATGTCACTAAGGGATAAGGATGGGGAGCTCCTGGCATTTTCCTGCCCC